CAAACCGATCCACTGGCTGTGAACATTCTAAACTAACACGAGTCTCATTAAGTGTCCAGTTTAAGGGTATTACACAGAAACATACTAAGGGAACATGAATCAAATATGTACTTTTATTCATTTACAATAAATTCATAAAATACATCATTCTTGATTGAAGCTAAGGGCATACGAAACTGTCTAACACTGAGATGGTAATTCATAAAAAAAAAGGTTCTGAGATGGTAATAAGCTAGAAGTTAGGGTTTTACTTTTAGATTAGCTTAACATATGTCGAGGTACATTGTAACTTAGATTGTATTTTAATCCTATTTTTATTTGCAAATAATGATGGTTATAAAACTAAAATAGATGATAGAGGGAAAATGGCAAAAAAAAAAGGGCATAAACCTATGCATTTGTCCATAAAATAAATTGAGTTCAGGTTGGTTCAGGCTGTTAGAGGCCTCAAACCTATCAAACACAACTCTAAATTCAGTTGTCTTTGTTCAACACTAATCCAATATTCAACCCGAGGCAGCTCAACCCAAGATGCTCACTAATGACTAGAGTATATGATGATGACAACTTGATAAGTGAAGATCATGCACAGCCTTATTTTTGCTCCTTAAATTAAGGACACAAACATCCTTCAAGCGTTGTTTTAAAAGGCTTAAGCCTTGAGGTGTGAGGCTTACGCCTTGAGGCGAGGTACACAGATTTTGCCTCAAGGATTAAGCCTCATAACTATGATGTGAGGCTTAAGCCTTTGTCAGAATAAGGCGTAAGCCTCAAGCCTCAAGGTGTAAGGCATAGCTTGAGGCATAAAAAGGCGTAAGACTCAAGTATCAATGATTATTTAGTGGTTTAATGCAAAAAAAAATATATATTACGCATTTTTATAGTTCAAAGTACATGGAAGAAGCACATAAATAATTATGTGCCAAATAAGTAAAAAGAGTAAAAATGAAAAACCAATAGGAAAAAACAGGCCAATCAAGTTCTTAGTTTCTCTTGGATATATCAAGTGAGAATTTTTTCTTATTATTTCTAAATTTAACATCTCATTTCTTTTCCTAATGGATTTGTTTTCTTTTTATTGATTTTTTTGCATAGATCAAATTAACTAAGTTGTTTTCTTTCTTCTAAACTATTAAATGACCATAAATCTAATATCCAATCATATATGGATTATTCTACTGATAAAAAAGTCATATGGATTATTCTTCATATGTTTCCTTTTCTTCTAAATTAGCCATTTGAATTATTTGAGAACTTTGCATTTTGAAACATGAAATGTAGAATGTTTATAATTGTTAGTTGATTAGTTATTATTTTATTTAATTCTTAAGCGCTGAACTAATATCTCCTTCCTACTACTCCTTTCTTGCCTCTATTTCTTCCCATGTGATACTCAGGTCTATACCGGAAGCATTATCTCAAGCTGAATGGAGGGATGCTATGATGGCCGAACTAGATGCATTGTACAAGAATCATACCTGGGATATTGTTGACTTGCCGAAGGGGAAGAAACCAGTGGGTTGTAAATGAGTGTTTACCATTAAATATCACTCTGATTGCTCTGTTGAGAGGTTTAAGGCTCAGTTGGTTGCTAATGGCTACACTCAAATGTATGGCATTGACTATTTTGAGACATTTGCTCCTGTAACTAAGATGATCTCAGTAAGGGCTTTACTATCTCTAGCTGCTACTTTTGACTGGCCTCTACACCAGTTTGATGTTAAAAATGCCTTCTTGAATGGAGACCTACATGAAGAGGTCTATATGTCTCTACCTCCAGGAGTGTATGGGAAGGAAATGAAAGGCAAGGTGTGTAAACTACACAAATCTATTTATGGTTTCAAACAGTCTCCTCGGGCTTGGTTTGAGAGATTTCGGGCTACTCTTGTCTCCTTTGGCTACACTCAAACTCAATCTGATCATGCACTGTTCTTGAAGAGAAATAACTCTCTGGTGACCTTGATTTTTATGTTGATGATATTGTGGTCACGGGTAATGACACTGAAGAGGTTAGTAAACTAAAAGGATTTAAAATCAATGATTTGGGAGATCTTCGGTATTTCTTGGGCATTGAAGTTGCTCGATCTGAGGATAGTATCTTCATCTCTCAGCGTAAATATGTCCTTGATCTCCTTGCTGAAATTGGTAAACTTGGAGCTAAACCCATCTCCATTCCTATTGATCTTAATCATAAGCTTTCTGCTATAGATGGTGAGCTTTTGTCTGATAAGTGAGTGTTTCAGAGACTGCTTGGGAAGTTGTTATACTTTTGCATGACTCAGCCAAATATTTCCTATGCAGTAAGTGTTGTCAGTTAATTTATGCATTCTCCCAGAGATACTCATTTAGCTATTGCAAAAAGGGTTCTGTGCTACTTGAAAGGTACCTCAGGGAAAAGTCTTCTATTTGATAAACATGATCACATGAAGCTGGAAGCTTTTACTGATGCCGATTGGGCAGGATGTATTGATGATAGAAAATCCACCTCTGGTTATTGTGCTCTGGTTGCCAGGAATATTGTGTCATGGAGAAGTAAGAAACAATCTGTAATAGCTAGTTCCTCAACTGAAGCAGAATACAGGGCAATGGCACATGGTGTGTCAGAATTACTGTGGCTATGTTCCCTTCGAGAAGAATTGGGGGTAGACTATGAGAAACCAATGATGTTCTATTGTGACAACCAAGCTGCTATCAACATTGCACATAATCCTGTTCAACATGACAGAACTAAGCACATTGAGGTTGATAGGCATGTTATAAGGGAAAGAGTTTCCTCAGGAGAAGTTTGTTTACCATTCATCACATCAGAAGAGCAAATGACTGATATCTTGACCAAGGGAGTTCCAAGA